AACCAAGAGCAGAGCTGACAGGATTGAAGATTGGGTGTTGATGCCAGGCATAGTTCCAGCACTGAGAGGCTGTGGCAGGCCCATCTCTTGCCAATGAATTTGAGGCCTGCTTGGTCCACCTAGTGAGTTCCAGGCCAGCTAGTGAGACTCTGTCTCAGAAAACCAAAAGATGGAGTGTTGTGTTGGTTGAAGGGACCAAGGGTGACTGCATGTGTGCTGGTGTGAAGACAGAAGGTGGAGATGTCATTTCACAGAGATCTGACCTGTGGAGGGCCTACAGGCAGCCACGGCTGGGTTTCAGGGTGAGCTCCATGTGCACTAGGCACAGGTGCCAAGCAGACACAAGCCATGAGTTCCAGAAAGGCAGAGTAGAGGGCTGAATGAAGGTCAGAGCTTAGCCTGAGGGGTGTTCACAGTCTTGGTGATGGAAGGGCCTCCAGGGAACAAGTGCAGAAGGAAGAGACTCATCTAAGAGCCATGGCGGTCTGAGAGAACAGGGCCCTTCGGGTAATGAAGGGTGGAGGCTCCTGAGGAGGCCAGGAGAGAATGTTCCAGGCGGGCAGACAAGCAAGTGGGGGCAAGGTGGTGGGAAGGGAGGGCTGGAAAGCTGGGGAGAAGTGTGGGGGCACAGGACCCCCACCTGAGGCACTGGGACCCCGTCCCTTCCTGGATAACTGTTGCTTAGCTTGTATTGTCAACTGGACAGGAACTAGAGAACAACTGAGCTATCTAGATTAGGCCCAGCCCACTGTGGGTGATGCTATCTATCCCTGGGCAGATGACCTTGAAGCAAGCTAAACCAGACAGACTCAGCAAGTCAGTACGCGGTGTTTCTCCATGGTCTCTGCTGCAGTTCCTGTCTCCAGGTCCCTGCCTGACTTCCCTCAGTGATGGACTATTAGCTGGAAGTGTAAGTTGAAATAAACCCTTTCCTCTCCAAGTTGGTTTTAATCAGTGTTGTATCACAGCCAGCTTTGGGTACATTGTATTCCCCCCATCAGTCCCGACTCAAGCATCCTAGGGTTGAAGCTCAGCTCTGTCTGCTGGTGGACTGCCAGGGCTGGAGTCTCTCTCTGCCTGACTTCATTCTGCCTCCATCCCTCATCTGTAGAATGTGAGCTCGTACCGGGCAAGCTGGCAAACGGGTCATGTTGAGTCATGACTCATACTGGAAGTTAACATGCTTTCGTCTGGGTCTCATCCTTTCTCCCGTCAGGGTCTTTCGTAGATGCCTGAACTTGCCTGTGCTCCCAAACAGTCAGCCAGCACTCATAGCAAATCCAAGCTCATGTAGGAATTTCACACTTTCGTTGGGCTGAAAAAGCACACTGTGACATATCATAGATTGTATTGCTCCTTTCCCTTGTTTCCATGACAACTGCCCCTTTCCAGTTTTCCTGCATCTCTTGCTGATGTATACTGACTGCCTGTCACCCTTCCAACATTCCTTGCATTCTTTTTTTGATCAAGTCGCATAACAACCCGATAGGTGCTGTCTGCTCCCTCCTTTAACTCTGGTCTGGAGGGCTCAGCAGGGAGGGGCTGCCGGTGGGAAAGCGGTTAACGGGAAGGTTCTTAGAGCTACGTAGTGAACCAAAGTCATCCATGAGCACTGTTAGTGTTAGCTAGTGACAGCTGGGTCGTCGCAGGGACAAGGGCCCGGCATTTGACAAAGCCTTAGACAACTTTAAAAAATGCCTCATAAGGTGACAGTGCAAGTCTGCCACAGTTACAATGGCCTGATCTTTAAGTGCCTGCACAGTAGGACTATTATAGTCAGAAGGATCCAGTCCCCGTAGTCTTGCTGATGAGCCCCTTTTACTGAGGGCCGTGTTTGGAGTGCAGAAAGATGGCAATTCAGAAATACAGGCACAGGAGAGAGAGGCCAGGGACGGAAGCCTCATGCAAGGTGGCCTGGAGGCACTCGCTCACCAGCCAGAGCTCACTGCCACCACCTGTGGCACAGCTGACTCCTGAGCCCAGGAGGTGGCCTGCCCCCTGGTGTCTGCCCTGGGAACAGCGGGTTAGCTCCTACCTGCTGTCCTGTGTGTATGACACGGACAGACGCTTGAATGGGCAAGGATGTAGAGCACCAGTCCACTAGTCCATGCTGGATGACTTGTGAGGATTGCACCCGCACTGCCCCCAGCCACCTCCCAAAGGCCCCACCAAGGGCTGAGTGGCGAAATGGCTCAGCTGGGAAATATATCTGCCACCAAGCCAGTTGCCCAAGAGGGAATGAAGGAACTAACTCCCTCGAGCTGTCCTCTGACCTCTCACTTGTCCCTCCTCCTGCACACACACAAATTAATTAATAAAAAGTGTAAAGGTCCCACACATCCCCCCTTGTCACTTCCCCAATATATATATATATATATATATATATATATATATATAGTGTGTGTGTGAGTGTGTGTGTGTGTGTGTGTGAGAGTGTGTGTGTGTGTGAGTGTGTGTGTGAGAGTGTGTGTGTGAGTGTGTGTGTGTGTGTGGTTGTATT